CTGTGGGAGCAAAGCTTGCAGAGGCCCGGGAGCTGGCCCGCTGGCCTCGGCGGGGTCCGGTGGCCGCTGATTCTGGCAGCAGTGCCGTTGCCCTAACGCTGTTGCTCCTGCTGTCCCCTGACAGGGCATAACCTTCTCTCGAGGGGAAAGGTATTAATCCCTGCAAACGGGGAAAGTCGGGTTTCCCCCCCCCCCTCCTCCTCAGCGACCAAATGCTCCAGACTGTCGTCAGGATACCGTGGTAGTGATTTAGTAAGATAATGGCTTGAGTGATGCTGAATTCCGGCCCTCCCCCGCCCCTTTAGGGCCTGAATGTTGCAAGGCAGACCAGATGGTGAACGAGGTGTGTTCCTCTGTTAATGTAGTTGCTGTTCTCTCAAACACGCATGCATGCTGCTGGTCCTTGTAAGAGCTTTTTACGCTCTACTGTACTTAATGTCACTCACTCTGGAATTTAAATCTTAGTCACTGTATTATTTTTTGGAATACATAACTACTGCGTAGTTTCTAAAAACTTTGTCTTATTTTACTTGATTACATAGATTTTCATTTTGAAGGGCTCTATTTGCATGGTTTCTTAGTACAAGACACGACTATGAGCATTTTGGTATAGATAGATCTGGTCTTGATTTGACTGTGCTCTGAGGAATGAAATCTCTCACGTCACCCTAAATACCTATTTTGAATTCGTTGAACGAAAAATGTGTTTTCTGTCTCAGGACTCTTATTTAAAACTAAAGGATCATAATGAATGCCAGACCATTTCAGAACCCTGATCTTCTGGTAGAGTCCACTTTATAATTCATGGACCGCTATCAAGTCCTAAATAATATCCCTGTATAATTAGTATGGTACAGAGCTGAGCGCTCTCAGAATGAGCATTCTGTAAAGCTGAGAAGATACTACAAAATGCTGCAGGAACTCTTGGTCACTGTAAGCAAAGAAGTTACGAAAACACATGCTTGAATTGGGTTGTTTGGAAAGGGAGAGAGCAAGAGTAGTTAGAATTAGTTTTTTCCCCTTGTCAATATCAAGCATGTGGTTCTAGACTGGGTTGGGTTTTTTTCACTTGAAGGAAAGGTAATAAGAACTGTGAATAATATATGTATGCCATAATAAAAGATGTCTATATAGCTGTTTGTAGTGCTTAAATTTTATACAAGGAAGAAAAATGTATATTTAAATAACAACAGATCAAGGTAGGAAAAGGTATAGAATAACACTTGTTTTGCCGGGGGGGCATACTATTTGTGTTGTAAGGGGACAATTTTATTTTAAAGTTTAAATCACAACTATTGGTATTTCAAACAAGATCTAGTAAAGTGAGGATATCAGTTATGAATTTTAAATGTTGAATTACAAGCCACTGCAATTCTCTATTACATAATCTTGTAAATATAAAAAAACATTGTATCTTGGAGTTGACTTTGTTTTTGAACTTTTAGTAGCAACTTGGAATACAATGGCAAACGTGTTGCTTCTCTTTCTGTTCTGTGTTATGCTTGTTTTCTGTGGAATAGATAGGCCCAAGGTGGCATCATGGGTTAGTTGCTGATTAACTATATTCCCAACATGGTCAGCTCTTCGAATTTCAGGTATAAATGACCAAGAGATTGCATTCATCTCTGATAACAAGTTGGGCATGATCTCAATCCTCTTCTGGTTGGGGGAGGGGCTGGTTTGCATGTTCTGTAAATAGAAAAGAGGTGAGCAAGGAAATAAAAACGCGAGTTGTTACATCGAAATGTGGATTTTTCTGACTGAAGCTACTGTGCAGAAACCTCAGATAAACATTTTAAAAAACTAGTTGAGCATCAGTAGTAATGACTGAAGAAACTCCTTGTTTTCAAATATGTAACAAATACTCTGATGTCTTGCTATAAGGCCATAGAGTTGTAAGTTTCTTAAATACAAATGCTAAATCTGAGAGTTCAGAACAGTTTTCTAGACTACTCTGAGTTTAATCTTCCCTGAAACAGCAATCTTGAGTGCCTCTGGTGAAGAAAAAATTAAACAAAAAGTTATTTCAAATGTGTTGTGCTGATTTTTAAGAAAAATGGGATTTAGTTAATTTGAAAAGGTAAGGTGAGATTCCAGAACATCCTGTTTAATATACTTACTTATTTGGGGGCCTTATGGAAAAACTGACTCATTGTGAAATAAAAAGTGTAAAACATACTGCAGAAAACCTTTCTATTCTTCACAGTAATCTAGGGTGTTACCTGTAACTAGAATCAGCATGAGTTTAGATATCTAGAGATGATAGTGCTTTTCTTGACAATACGTCTTATCTGAAAGACTTTGTTTTTTGTCTTAACCACCCTTCTGTTTGTACTTTGTGGAATACATGCTTTTCTGTAATATGTAGTTGGGAATCCTATCAACTTTTGAATAACATTAACTGAATTTTGTATTTTAGGGTAAAATCTTTGGAATATCTTTTCATGCGTTACCACAATCACTTGTGCCAGAATATGGCTATATTCCAAGGTAAACTAACGCTATATTTAGATTTACACTTACTTTGCTGTCTTCATAGTATTGAACTCTTGTCAGAAGAGGGAACATAGTATTTATTTAAGGCCTGCTAAAGCTTACAGGGGTCTAAGAATAGTTTCAGTTGGGGAAGGAGATATGCGGAAGTTAGATGGGAAATTCAAAGCCATGCCTATCATTCAGTTGTATTTCTTCATAGTTCTTGTCATTGGGGAAAATGGTCCTATATATTAAGTATTTATCATGAAATAGTTTTTCTGGAAAAAAACAAGCTTTATTTTGTGTTGGAAGTATGATACTTTTCTTTCCTCAGCTTTCTTGTTGATACTTGTGAATATTTGGAAGAACATGTTCATACTGAGGGACTCTTCAGAAAGTCTGGATCTCTTGTTCGTTTAAAAGCTTTAAAGGTAAGCTGCATTTCATTTGATCATGTGCAGTTCTGCAGTTTTTGGTTTTGGACTCTTTTCGATCATATTTGAGGTTTAATCTTGGAAGTAGACTGGTAACATTACCTGCTTTAGAAATGAGAGGAGATCTAGTCCAGAAACTGGGGACCTTCTTTTTTTTTTTTATTTCCTGGTAAATTTTTCAGTTTACCAGATGGTGAGAATACACTTTAACTGAACAAACCTGTCAGCAGTTGTGCACACTGGATACTGTGAGGATATTTGTTTAACAATGTTCTTCCAGAGGGATGTGTATCTGGGAAACCTGTAAATTAACATATGTGGCCTGACAACATATGGCTCTTTGTAGATACTGTAGTTAGGTAAAACATGCAAAGGCTGAAACTAAAAATGAGGAAGATGTGATTGTCTTTTCTGATACAGGCTAGAGGATTAATGCTTGAACTTGGAAATCTGGCAGTATGTTGAAGACTTCAAATCATGTTTCTTATTAACAATTTCAGAGTAAACTGGATCAGGGTGAAAACTGCCTCTCAGCTGCGCTGCCATGCGATGTTGCAGGGCTTCTTAAACAGTTCTTTAGGGAGCTGCCAGAACCCATCCTTCCACCTCACCTGCAGGAAGGCCTTTTAAGAGCTCAGCAGCTGGGAAATGAGAAGAAAACTGCAACTGTGTTGTTGTCATGTTTGATGGCCAACAGAACAATTGAAGCTTTGAGATACTTTTTCAACTTTCTGAGAACTGTTTCCCTAAGGTCAGTATAAAGAGAGTGCTTATAAACAGCTCCCAATTCCTTTAATGCCTTCTCTTTCCAGGCAACTGCTGTAATTTTCTGTGAGTGGTTTGTGACTTTAAACTTTCTTATCTGCAGTCATTCACTAGAATTCACTCTTGGTCCTTTCTTTTGTAAATCCAGTGTTTTCTTTATGAAACTTTATTTTGCTGGAGACTTGGACTTCATTTCTTTCAAAGCTGTGTTCCTCATGCTTCTTTGGAAAACAAAAGGAGTGACTGATAAAATTAATCTAACTCATACCTTGCATTCCCCAGAACTGACCGTGGTCTATAATCTCTTGATTTCAACAATGTAGTCGTGCGGTACATAGCCTAGGGTGCATAAGTCTACACATTAATCTCGGTACACGAGCACTAAAGAGAATGGCTCCATTTGGTTTTTTCAACTGCTTTTGTTTTATTTGGTCTTTCCTCTCTCTGCTGCTTATGTCCTAATAATTTAAGAAACCCTTTTCTTGTTAAGATCCAGTGAAAACAGAATGGACAGCAGTAATCTGGCAGTGATTTTTGCTCCCAACCTCTTGCACTCGAATGAAAATGAAAAAATGTCAGCCAGTACAGAAGAAAAAATTCGTTTGCAAGCCGCTGTTGTGCAAACATTTATTGACCATGCAGCAGAAATCGGTAAGATGATAAATGCTTATCAAAATGACTTGTTGCACATACTTGTATACAGCTTTTCTTTTAAAAACGTGAAATAACTTTAAAAAAATGTTTTTCAACTACTTCAGGACAAGTACCAGAGTTTATCTTGGAAAAGATTCCTGCAATGTTAGGTGTTGATGCCTTTCAATCTACTCCCTCACTGTGGGGCCACGAAGACAGTGAAAATGAATCACCCAGTGAATGTAAGAAAAGGAGGCACCGAAGCGTTGGTGGTAAGTATGTTGTGTGAAAGTTTCAGCAACTAAAACAGAATTATTTTGAGACTTCAGGTATGCTGATCCTAAGCATTTGCTGCTTCCACAAGCAGAACAGATGCCTCTGAAGCTTTTTGGGTTTGATTTGCAAAACCTATATAAGGCTTCAGTAATAGCATGACTTTATTGTATATTTACTGAGTTTATTCTAGTGTGTCTGTTGTCTACCAAAGAAGCTATTTTGCTTGTGTTCACATTTGTGAAGCCAGATTAACGGTTCGGTTTAAGTCAACTTCAGATCCTGTTGCAGAATGAAGTAAAGAGGTTTGGGGTTTTTTGCTAGTTTTGAAATCATACCTGCACACTCAAAGATATTGCATACTTTGATAAGTCAGGTGATGAGAAGGCAAGGATATAAATGGTGTGTATGTTTTGAAGTAGAGTAACTAATTTGTGTTTTGAAGTAGTAACTCCAGACTGGATGTTATTGAATACTTTGTGCTCTGATAGGGATCTGTTGACTTGGGGGTTTTTTGAAGTTGATATATTCCATAGGGCTTGGGGTTTTCTTGCCAAATATGGACAAGGGTATATTCTCTCTTCTGAATTCTCTTGGAGGAAATACTATGGAATACGTGTGCTTGACTTGATTCATATCCACTGTCACACTGATCTTGTATGTATTGCTATGATAATATGCACATGTATTTAGCTCATGTACCTGGCATATTAAACCTGACAGCAATTGAAATTAAGGTTTTCCTATTGAATATGTTTAGCCAAGGCATGGTTTTTTTGTTTGGTTTTTTTTTGTGATATACTTTTCCACGCTGAAGGAGGGAGATCATCCTGGAGTTGCAAAGCGTTAAGTGTTTGTGTATGTTAAAATTTTGAGGAGAAGCAGTTACAATTTGTTAATTCTGTAGAACAGGTTCTGGAAGTAGGCAGTGTCTACTCTTTTTCCAGATGTAGTAAAACATAGTATTACTGCACTTCATCTATTTTCAAAGATGAGTTTTTAAAAACTACCTTTGTATCTACCAGATACCATAAGTAGTACTGCAGGCTTGTAGTTCAGTAAACTTTGCTACGAACACATGGAAATACAGCTGTGGGGTGCAATAGCACTTAGTAAAAATACTTCCATTTTATACTGTTAAAAGCAGGAAAACTTCATGCATATACTCTGCTGGGTTTAATTTTGCCTTAAAAACCAAACACACCAAGATGAAAACAGCTCACCGAGAAGTTGTACGTTATTTTTTTGCAGGACCAAAATTTTATACTTCTATTTAGGCCTAACTTCAAAGCTCTGAGAGCTTTTTGGCTTCAAGATAACTGTCCAGTAAAGTGAGAAAGTGTGGGAGACTTTCTATAAGAGACTTCAATGGATACCTTTTAGGTTTGCCTACAAGAAGTCAGAAGGCATATAATTTTATAATGACCAGTAGAATTTTCTACAAGAAACTTCCGTTGTCTGTGCATGAATCCTTTGTTGGGTTTGTTTTTGTTTTGTTTTTGTTTTGTTTTTTTAAGGAAAATAGAATTTTTCAGCTATTGTGAAAGCAACAAAAAACTATGTTGGTGACAAGATCTGGACCAGAGTTCTTTACATAAAGCAGCCATTTAAACTGCTCTATTTCCCTCTGAAAGAATACAAGTTAAACTTGAGTTGAAAATAGAGCAAGACAAACTTCCTATTTAAATTTGATTGCTCAGTATGTCTTGCATTTCAGATATTGTTAGTGGAGCACTGAATAAATTTAAATCTAACGGAACACCCTCCACTACACCTCAACAAGATAGAAGCGGTAGGTATTGGTATATTTGTACTAAATAAAACCCATGCAGTATCTTCTGGATTTGTCAACTATATTCCACAATTTTTTTTTAACTGAAGAACTAGAACTTAGTTGAAGATAAGTGATTATGTTTAAATTGTTTAAAATTTGAATATAGTTATATATTTATTGAAGATACTGCATTTATTGGAGCAGCGACAATCACTGCAGCAGTGGGCTGTGCTGTTCTAGGATTATACAACTGAACTTGTGCTTTTTATCTAATGCACGCTAAGGCTTCAGTGCAGTAGTGCAGCATTTTATCATCTTGGGAATGAATTTGCCAGGATTGAAATTCTTCCACTCATACTCTGTCTCTAAAACTTGCGGAAGATGACCACACTTTTTTTTTTTTTTCCCTCCTAATACTTATTTATCAATGTGTGGGTTTGGATTTTTTTTTTCTGGTACTCTAACTTGGAAGAAAAAAAAAAATCCTAAACTGTATATTTGCTTTGCCTGTTCAAAATGCATGCACTTTGGCTAAGCTTTTAAAACTCTGAAAAACAATTGTTGTAAAAAAACTAAAACAACTGTTTATATTTTAGTAAACTCTCAACCTTTCAAGCTGTTATTGCAAATCTGGTTGTCTTAATTTCAGTCCTTTCATCGGTGACTCCAGTGGTTCTTACTCCAAGTACCAAGCGTAAACTTCCAACTGATTGCTCTCAGGGCTTGTCCAGCAAGAAGAGAAGATCTTTTAAGCATAGTTTTGCTGTTGAGTTGTTACCAAGTAGCATTTTTAACAGCTCAACACCAGCATCAGGTACTTCACTATTTGTCCTTCCTGCTCAAAGTTTTTGTTGTTTATGACTTTAATTTAAATAACAGTGAAATTCAAAGTATTTTCAAGTCAGCACTCCACAAAATAAGCAAACAAATCTGTGCTGTTTAAAAACCTATTCTGTATTGTATGTGACTGTTTTTAAGATCATGTAAATGTGTTTTTTCTTCCTGTAGTTCAGTTTGAAGCAAGCCCTTGTGTGTCTCTTGAGTCATCACAGACGTCACTGTCTCCTTCAACTGGTGCTGAAAATCATCTGTCTGGTACAGGGAACAGAAGAAGTAAAAGACATGCAAGCAAAAAATTATACAGGTAATTTGCCTTAACTCTCAGAAATTAAAGATAAATTGGAAAGGTAGGTCTAGTCCCCCTGACTAATGATGTGTAAAATCTCAATCTGTCTTTAAAATGATCTTTTTTGGTTTTCAAAACATAATAAACTTTTATAGTTAAAATCCTAAAATCACCAGGTCTTCCAATATGGCAAAATGGAGCTCAAAACAAAATAAGACTTGGTAAAGTAGCCTCCTGTGCCTATTAAAAGAGCTTGGCAAGAAGGCACAGAAGAAGTAAAACTAGAAGAAAAAACCATAAGTGTCAGGATGTTTTCATTACCCTCATAAAGAGTTTTTTACATGACACTTCTTCCTCTCTGTCCTCCCAGGGCTGAATCAGGAAAGACTGGTTGTTTTTCTCCAAAGATTAGCCGAAAAGAAATGGTTCGTAGGTCATTACGCTTGAAGTTTGGTTTGGGGAAAAGCAACAGAGAAATGGTAAGTATTCTGCTTCTAACCCAGTCTTCTTGTTACTGTGCAAATTTTGATTCAAAGTTTTGGCCACTGCTTTTCAGTAGCAGGAAGGACTGACTTGGTAATGGAGGGATCACTGCATAACTGGGCCTGCTAAGAAGTACAAGGAACCCTAGGTTTTTTCCATAGCAGTAACTGATCAGCTTGCACTGGGTTTGGCTGGGATGGGGCAAGAGGTTGTAGCAAGGGGACAGCTGACCTGAATTGACCAAGGAACTGTTCTATGCTATATAAACTGGGATGGAGGGAATTTTTGCGAAGTAGCCACTGCTCAGAGGGTGGTTGGGCATCAGTCTAATCACTGTGAGTGATTGCTTTTGCATCACTTGTGAGTTTGGGGGTGGTTTTGGTTCCCCTTCCCCTTGCCTTCCCAATTCTCTCCCTCATCCTGCTAGGGAGTGAAGGGGAGTAAGCAAGCAGCTGGATGGGAGCTTATCTGCCAGCTGGGGCCAACACACTACACTTGTGATCACTAAGTCTCACAGTTCCTGAAATTCTGGTATTACGGAGCCTACACACAGAATTACTATGTCCAGAGTGTGGCTAAGCCTACCTTACTGCAGGTGGGTTGTTCCCTACCTAGGTCTACAGAGAATCGAAGGAAGATGAAGCATAGCCAAGAAAAGGCTGCTATGACTGATTTGCATAGCCTTTTCCTGGAGGTTCCTCTGTAAATGAGATTCCAAATTACGAGTTTATATGAAAGTAATTAACACCTTTTGTTTGTTCAAGAATGTGGCATCAGGATGTGTGGTTGGTAATAGATCTGAAAATATTGGAAGGCGTCTTGCAAGTCAACAAGGTTTAGAAAGCAGAACTGAATGTGCAAAGAGAGATTTACTCTTCAGCCCATGTATCAATGAAAAATTCCCTAAGAAAGGTAAGTATCTAATAGAATGTATTAGATTGGGAAAACTTTTGCTTTTGTAAAGCAGAAGTAACTTTACAGGCAAAGGTATAAAAGCAATTGCATTAAAAGTGCTTCTAGCTAGTAGGACAAGTGTTACTTGAATGGTAGTGGCTTCTGGGGAAAAAGAATCAGTTTAGGACAAGCTTGTGTTTCTAGTGTATTTTAGTAGCTCTCTTGTTAGTTAAGCAAGATGAGATATGTGATTTCTATTCTTAATATTATGACCTTTTTTGACATCTAAGAAACTTAACGTCCTTAAGTAATGCATCTTTAAATTCAATGCTGCTTTGATAGTTAGGTGGTTTTAGCAAGAATTTTGCCTATAATCATTAAAATTGCAATATGTTATTCTTAAACACTGTGATGTTTATTTTAAGGTTCAAAGAATGTGAGCAAGTCAGAAGAAAACTTGCTAAATGCCAATAAAGTAATTCACCGAATGTCATGGAATAGTCCTACTGTTACATATTCTCAGGTGATCAGCAGGAATGAGGGAATGCTGCCAGGACACCCCAAACCAGAAATCAGTTCTTCAGAATCTGTTTTGATATTTGGAGAGCCACCAGTTGTTCCAGATGAATTCAAATCCACAACTGTAAGCAAACAAGAGAACAGCTTAGAACTTTTGCTTTGTGAAGAGGAAAGTAATTCAACTGCAGCAACATTACTGAAAGTTAAACAAGCCTTCTCTGCATCTGGTAGTAATCTTCACAATTTGATAGGTGATACAAAATCTTCCTTCTCAGATGTAGCAGGTGAAACATTAAATGAAAGTCTGTGTCTCACAGGGCTCAGTCTGCAGAAAGACTTGTCAGCTGAAGAAGTTTCTGAAAATCTACCAAATAGAAAATCCAGAGAGCTGTTGCAGCAATTTAATCAGTCTTATGCAACTGATAAGCATCAATCAAAAAAAGATGAAAATAAAGTTTTGGAGAAAAGGAACTTCAAAGCTTCCATTGAGATCGAACTTCACGTCCCAAAACCAGATATGAAAAATGTAACAGAACTTCCTGTGCCTCAAGTACTGGCCTGGGAGGACAAGTTGACTGTTCAGAACGGTTCATCAAAAGATGACTTAAACAAAATAGATTCCTTTGAAAGAAAAGAGAAAATAGAATTAACAAACTCACAAACAGCTGAAAACTCTATTGTAAAATGCTGTACTTTGGAAGAAGATACCGCTAAACTTTCTGTGGCAGGACAGCTTCCTACTTTGCAGTTGACTAAATCACTAAACAAAGTAGGCAACCAATACTTGCAGGCTGAAAATTGTGATAAAACTTTAACTGTTTCTGACCATGGAAAGGTTGCAGACCACATACAGTGGTTCAACAAGCTTTCATTAAATGATCCAAGTTCTGCAAGCAAAACTAAACCTCCTCTTAAATTTCAACGTACTCCTGTTAGACAGTCTGTAAGAAGAATTAATTCCTTATTGGAGGCTAACAGGCAATCTGTAAGGTCTCAGCTGCTTAAAGCAAGAGATGTGGGTTCACCGCTTGTTAAATCTTTGAGCTATGATTCTGCACTATCCTCCTGCATAGAAAAGCCCTCAAAGAATTCTGTGATTTTGCCATTCAGGGGTGAAAGTACATATGATCAAGTTTCTGTATCTCATAAGCAGCTAAACTTGATATCCAAATCATGTTGCAGGCCATTAAATCCACCAGACAAGCCTGATGTTTCTATCGGAACTGCTGGGATCCACGAACAGAAAGCAACTGTTCATCCATCAAAGTCTGTTCTAGAAGATCTAAGCAATCATGAAATTGTGAAATCTAGTTTAAAAGCTAATGTGAATATAAATATTCCAGGTGCTGCCCCAGAAAAATCTACAATCACAAGAAGTGCTTCAGGAAGAGAAAGAGTTCGTTATAAAGGCTCTCCAAAAAATCCAATATCTAAAGCAAAACTGCTACCAGCTGCAAAACCAGTAGACTTATAAGATCATATATGATTGCTAAATAGGCTTATCGTAACTTGGTTAACCTTTGGAAAATCTAAATTTGTACGATTACTTTTTTAGCCCTAATTATTTGTATTTTTCAATTTATTTTTTTAACTGTATGAGTCATGGACTTGTACAAATAACAATTTGTTTTATGTTGAAGCTTTCTTTATTTACTGAAACATTTGTAAATACTAGTCAGTTGATCTAGATTAATTTGACTTCTAAAACAATAATAATCTGCTTTTACAAATGTTGTGTTAGATCTCATATTTTATTATTTCGGCTTCTAAAAACATGCTGCATCTCCCAAAACAATTTTTGCAGTATTTAGACTAAGTACAAAGTTTTCTAAAAAATTCTCAGACATTTAAAACAAAAACAAACATGAAAGAAAATTTCTTGATGCTGAGTATTGATAGCTAAATTTATTTACATAGTTCTAAGTGTATTGCAGCATACTTTGATATTTAAATTGGACCTTATACCAGCTCTATGTCTTTTGAGACAACGGTTTTTATTTCTACTGGAGTAAATTTGGAGCACATTTTCCTTGCTGAGTAGGTAAATTAATTATATTTTTGACATATTTGGAGAATTATAAATAAATGTGCAGTTTATTCAGGAAGTGAAAAGTCTTAAAACGTAATCCAGCAATGTGTTCTGCAATAGGTACCAAGTATTTTCAGTTGTGAGCAGTAAAATGTTTTATCTTAATATGAAAGGATGGTTTTAATTTATTTTTAGAGTGACAGGATAGTGTTAACTTAGAGGGTGTGGAAGCAGATTTCAGATGTTGGTAATGTTGCAAGAGATGAATGTAAGAAGCCATTGTGTGTTAAAAGTTGATTTGCACAAGCAAATGTTTACATCTTTTGGAATTAAAACTTTGTCTGTCATCTGTTGTAAAAGTATTTAAGAGTAAAGACTTGAAACTGTTCATTAGCTTTCTGTAAGCAAATTGCTTACTGGCAAAATGTAAGAGTTGAAAGCACTGCATACTTTTGGTTTTAATAAAACCATTTGTTTTGTCCCTTTTCTGAGCCTATTCTTCTATAATGACTTAGAAATTAGTAAATCTGAAAGTACTGAAGTCAGAAGTGATTCTGCTCTGGCTCTCCTTTTTGTTCATCTGGGATACATGTTGGTGATTCTCACAACTAGCAAAAGGCATGGTACAATTATAATTTACCAGGAGCAGGCCTTTTGAGTGATATGTTAATGTAAGGAATAGTTATGTTCGTTTTCTGTTCCCAGCCTCCTTCCCCACCTATCCACCAACTTACTGGGTGATCTGGTGGAAACCTGCCTCTGTGAGCCCAGCTCAGCTGCCTCCCTTTGTTGCTATATTATTGTCAAGATCTAACACTAGGGAAACTGCATTGAGACGATCCTAAGAGGATTGCTTGGTGTTGGGGTTAAGTAGTGGAAGCTTTGGTTTCATGAGATAAGGGAGCCAGCATACCAGTTTACTGCCATCCCAAGAGGAAGCTGCTTCTGCCTGCTCTCTCTGTAGGCTGAGTGTAGGCACCAGAACACCACGTTTTGTAGCATTTCACTGAGGTAAATTGCCAGCTCATGCAAGGACCTAGGAGATGGAAATAGAACAGAAGGAGATAAAAGGCAATGTAATGAGGAAGAAAATGAGATCTGACTCCTGTAATAGTGAGCTGTCTGAAAGGGCAAGACTTGAGATTTTTTTTTTTTTTCTGTTAATAGGTACCAAGTATTTTGAATGCTAATGTAGCTTTGACAATGTGTTGTGGATGGAGCAGTAAACTATTTTTGATCATTACTACAAGCTGGTCTTGAACCAGTTGACTTAAACATCGGAAAGGGAGATTTTTTTAATAGGGACCTGACAAACCCTTAAACGCCAGGAGAGATTGTCAAAGTTGTAGGCTGTGTTAGACGTTTTACGGAACAGTTTAGGCACACATCTATTTCCATAAAGATTAGAATCACTAGATGCCCAGTGGATGTCCCTGCTGCTTAATCCTGCAAGTTACAGACATGTATAGTGTGCTAGAGAGAATGATTTCCATGTGAAAGCATAGTTCATGGATCTGTTGTGTTTTATGGGGTAATCTCAGAGTTTTTCTGTAGATAGCTATCCTAAAATGGAAATTGTCACATTCACAGCAGTAGCAGTGAAGATGTGTTACATAAAATAGCCTTCACAAATTGCAGTTTTGCCAAGTGCTGTTGAATGATAGCTTTCATGGGGTAAGATCCTTGTACAGTTGTCTTTGTTAACCTCTGCTAATGGAGGATGTATGTAGATTTGCTTAACGTGGGGAGCTTTATCTGCAAGTCCTTAGCGATGGTTGCCGTTGCTGCGGTGTTACCCTGTAAACCTGCAGTTGGGTAATACTATTAAGCCAGGGAGAGAAATCACAGCGGGCAGACGGACACAATCCCAGGAATAGGTAGTATCGCATTTCTGTAACCGTTAACCCACCAAGAACCTTCAGTTTATTTTTAGGCTGTTGTGATGGGCAGAAAAGGGAGATCTTCCATATTGCCCCTGTGTCATCTTCCTAAGGGGACAGACCCCCGCAGCAAGCACACGCGCGGTCGGTACACGGGAGGAGCTGGCGCGGCCCGGCAGCGGGGGAAGGGCGGCGAGGGGCCGTGGCTGCGCACGGAGGATGCGCGACCGCGGAACCGCCGCACCCGCGGATGCGCCGCAACTTGCAGAGCCGCGCCGGGAGC